GGCTACTGTGACCGGCAGTGTATAAGAATAATATATAAGAATTCAGTTCGTACCTCACAGGAAACAGATCCGAACCCACGATCCCGGTTTCCAAGCGAGCGAAGACAGTACATGCCTTAGACCGCTCGGCTACTGTAACCGGCCCCACATCCCCCAGATACGTGACAATATATTCTTAGTCTATCAGCTCCACAGTCAATCCAACACAAACATCCAGTAGCCAGTAATAGCGGAACGTGTGAAAACTGGCGTATCCTAACTGTCTGACTGACTGACTAACTTCAACGAGCTGAGCACTTCTCGAGAAGCTGTCAGCCGTGCAGCTATTCAAGAAATCCTCAGTATTTTACGGAACCCGAAAGTTCATTACCGTGTTTACAAGAGTCCTCAACTCCCCGCTCTTGAGCCAGATCAATCCAGTCTATACCACCATAGCCTATCTCCCTAAGATCAATTTTAATATTATCCACCTACCTACTGGTCTCTCTCTCTGTGCCTGTCTCACAAATATCGTATATTCATTCCTTTTCTCACTCATTCGTGCTACATGCCCTGCCCATTTCATCCTCCTTGACTTGATCATTCTAATTATACTTGGCGAAGAGCACGCATTAGACCGCCTCTGTGATCTAGTGGTCAGAGTTCTTGACTACAGATCCAGAGGTCCCGGGTTAGTTTCCCGAGCTTACCAGATTTTCTGAGAAGTAGTGGGTCTGGAACAGGGTCAACTCAGCCTTATGAGGATAACTGAGGAGCTATTTCAAGGAAATTGCGGCTCTGGTCTAGAAAACCGAGATTTACTGCCGTGGAGATCCGTTTCGCTGACCACGTAACACCCTCTATCCGCGAAAGTTGGCACTAACTTCGTCGACAAGCGGCGGTCGCTCGGTCGGTATATTTCGCTTGCGGACTACAGGCCACGGAGATTGTTTTTTGTTTGAAGGGTACAAGTTATGTAGCTCCTCATGTGGGTAATTAATTACGTAAGGAATTAAACACTTCGCGTTACATAAACATAAAATCTTTAGAGGTCTGCAGTGAAAAAGAGTCTCATAATTTTAGAGGTGTCTGACAGACTAATGTAGGCACATTATGTATCATGCAGGTTAAGCGTGCTCCTTCACAGCGTTTTAATGAGCACTCACATTAGTTCTAAGCATAAAACTGGGATCCGTAATATAAGAAGGTGGGTTCTATGTCCATGAAGTGTTTAATTAGTATAATGCCAGCTTCTGTAAACAGCTAAATGAAAACTACAGCTGATTATACGAAAATCGACAAGAATTCTGCCTAACGTACCTAGAGCAAGTAGTTTCGTGCATGTACAAATAAATTAGAACATCACTGTATAAGCTATGCCATATATAATTTCATTTGCACTTCATGTTTTCTTTTTTTAGAAATCAGAAGATGGGTTTCTGAGCATGAAAACGTTAGATTCAGATATAAAAGGTTTGGACCTTTTTTCATCATTACAGTGACGGCCTAAATAATTCAGGTAGAGGAAGAACTCCATGTTTCATTTCGTGTTATATGGCGAAACAGAAGTACACCAGTCTGTGCAACAAAGGGCTCTTGGCTCTTCACTATCTGCTGAAACTCAAACGCATTGAGGATGGTTGTGAGCGAGCGATAATCGATGAACGAGAGAATGAAGTCGATACAGCTTGTCAACAGATTGCTGGTTAGGCCTTCCAAGTTCCATACATTGAATATACGACCACAAGTAGAGGAATGTTTTTATTTTATGGGCGGAGAAATAAAAGCACCATTCACTACCCTGCTGCTTAGTATATATTTTTCACCAGCGAACCCGTAAAATGTAAAGGTTTACAAAAACAAGTTGTTTACTACCTCACGAAATTGGAACACAAATTTGAATAAAGAATTTAAGAGAAGGCAAGGACAGAAATGGTCTGAAGTCTACTGTACTCTGGGCCAATGGTTCCAAAATCATGTCTCCAGCTGGGACGAAGGGTTTTGGCATTGAAATTTGGTACGGGCGTGAAACTTCGTATCTGACATTAAGGGAGGAACATAGACTGCGGGTGTTTGAGAACAGGGTGTTGAGGAGAATATTTTGACGGAAGAGGGATGAAGTGACAGGAGGTTGGAGAAGACTGCATAATGAGGAGCTTCATAACTTGTACTCTTCTCCAAGTATAATTAGAATGATCAAGTCAAGGAGGATGAGGTGAACACGGCATGTAGAATGCATGGGGGGAAGAGGAAAGCACACGCAAGGCAACAATGGGAGTGCGGAGTTTTCTATGTGGTCGGCGTCATGACCGTTGTTATGCGATCGCTCGGTAAGCATATTCCAACAATATAGGTTGTTTTCTGCGTGGTCAGTGCGGAGGCTATATAACGACAGTTAGGGACAGAATATATTTCAGTATTTGAGAGTGTTTACGTTAACAGTAAGATAGCAACGAGAAGTTAGTAAAAGAACTGTGAATATTTAAAGTGTAATCTGAAGACCTTAATTATGTGCAATATTTGGATTGAACTGTCCGGTCTAGGAAACCGAAATTAACGGCCGTGGGGATTCTTTGCGCTGACCACGCGACACTCTCTATCAGCTAAAGTTGGTACTAACTTCGCCGACAAGCGGCGGTTGCTCGGTCGGTATAGTTAGCTTGCGGAGTACATGCCACGGAGTTTTTTTTTAATGATCTGAAGCACTAGTTCCTATATTTTAATTTCATTACCAGGATAGGGTAAGTGTGTGCGTGCAACAGTGAAATATGAGGTGAATGTAACTCAGCGATAGCGCTGTATTTAAGTGTGTTTAAGAGAGAGTGTGTAACCAAGATGCTAATAAATCAAATCATCCGAACTGGAACCCGTCATTTCGTCACGCGTACCCCCATACACGTGACAGTATGATTGTACGGAAGACGAAAATGTTTTGATGATTAAGGCGAAATTAACTAGTTCTTTTTCACGTGAGATGTACGGACACATGAACATCCGGAATTCAGAGGGGACCGAAAAATAAACATGAGAAACGGAAGGGTTTTCTGAGTCGTAGTGTACAAGTGGCGGGAGTCTTGGTATCAATTCCTGGAATAGCTTCTTTTATTCATGGAAAAGGAAAATAAATGCTGTCGATATGTATTATTCAGCAGACAGAGTTACAGCCTATGCCGCTAGTTACAAGAGGAAAGATACAGCTGCCCTTTCCGTTACACGTGGGAAGTACAGAAAGGGCTCAGTTGCATTCATTCATTGCTTCTGAGCCCAGTCCTTGTGACTTAAGGCACCGAGATACTGTACAGGACCTTGTTACATCTCCAGTGTTCTAATCTGTACGGTTAGAACGAATCGTTTTCTAATGTAATTTTCATATTTGATATGACAGACCACGTCGGAGATATACAGCGGGATATGAACTGCAATTGACCGCCTCTGTGGTCTGGTGGTCAGAGTTCCTGGCTACAGATCCAGAGGACCAGGTTCGATTCACGGCGCTACGAGATTTTCTGAGAAGTAGTGGGTCTGGAACGTGGTCCACACAGCCTCATGAGGATAATTGAGGAGCTATTTCAAGGAAATAGCGGCTCCGGTCTAAAAAACCGAAAATAATGGCCGTGGGGATTCGTTCTGCTGACCACGCAACACCCTCTCTCCGTTAAAGTTGGCACTAACTTCGCCGATAAGCAGCGGTCGCTCGGTCGGTATAGTTCGCTTGCGGACTAATAACCATGGAGTTAGTTTCTATTTTGTATGAAATCTAACTAAATCACCTACTTCGTGAAGGTTTCATCCTTATCTCTACACATCTTTCCTTCTTGCTCCCACTTTGGTGCAAAGGACTGATTTCTAAGTTTCATTGATCATTTTACAGACGGTAGGACTCCTTGGACGGGTGATCAGCTCGTCGCAAGGCCTCAACCTAAACACAGGACAACCCAAACACAATAAACGCATACACACATACCAAACATCCATGCCTTGTGTGGGAATCGAACCCGCAATCCCGGCTTCCAAGCGAACGAAGACAGTACATGCCTTAGACCGCTCGGCTAGCGTGACCGGCAGTGTATAAGAATAATATTGTGACGTGTTGAGCCGTGGATCACCCCTACCTACCCAGCGGTACGTGGCGGTGACGTAACGTTCGCGTTACAACGGTAATAGGCGAGTTCCCGCCCCGCCACTCNACAAGAGCCCTCCACTGGTATCTATCCTGAGCCAGATCAATCCAATCCATCCCATCATATCTATGATCCATTTTAATATTGTCCACCCACCTACGCCTTGGTCTTAACAGTGGTCTCTTTCCATCTGGCTTTTAAAAATAAATTGAATTATCTGATAAAATATTGATACTTGTTTTGGTATGGTTTGGCAGAACATTTCCCACTATTTTCAGATCAGTACAACTACAATATCATTTACAAATATCAGATTCATGAGAACTCACCGAGTACGCGGATGTCTACCGATCGTTGTGCGGTGTAGTTTTGTTTGTTGCGTGCAGTGCAGCTGTAGGTACCTTGATCCGAGGCCCTCTGAACATTCTCCACGGTGAGTGTCCCGTTTGTAACGCGCTGTCGGATGTTTGTCGGCAGCCTCACTCCATCTGTGGATCCAACATCTCGTTAACACCTCACTGTCTGCGTATTGTCGCAGCAGCTTACATTTCTCGGAACATGGCGTCTGTATGACTGCAATCCTCTGGGTTACGACTGTATCTAGCTTCGTAGGCTAAAAGTAAGTAAGTAAAGTTATCCATGGGGCCGTTCACGGTAACCGAGCGGTCTAAGGCATGCACTATCTTCGCTCGTTTGGAAACCGGGATCGTGGGTTCGAATCCCACTCAGGGTATGGATGTTTAGTTTGTGTGTGTGCGTTTTTCTGTGTTTGTGTACAGGTAGAGGCCTTGCGAAGGGCTGATCACCCGCCCAAGGAGTCCTACCGAATGTGTAAGATCTAGAAAAACCGAAGTGAACGGAGAAGTTCATGGAGGTAAGCCTAGGCCCACTGGGGCTGTAGTGCCAAGGAAATAAAAAAGTTATCCCTGTAACAGGCCGTGAAGGCCCATAGGGTTGTGAGACGTTGAGGTTGTCTAGACAATCGGCTCACATATGACGATAAGGTTGTCAGTTTTACGCACCGGCCTCCCTTTACCCCCAGGAGGATTCCTGGTACTCATTTCCGTCAGAGGTTGAGTCGACCCCAGGGTCATAATGTGGCTGGAAGGATTAAGTCAATTGTGAAAAAATTGAATGACCTCATTGGGATTCGATCCCGTGACTTTCCGGTTTGTAGCATAGTGCCTCAACTAACTATGCTACCCCGTACCCCTAGCTTCGTAGGGTGGAAACGCTAAAGTTGCAGGAAATGGATTCCTACAAAACGCCAGTAACCATTTACCCAATCCGGAAGGTGGAAGAAGCAGATTTCTCCGGACCTAAATTGTGTAACCCCGCAAAAAAAAAACACTATCATAAATTTGTTTGTCCGGAAATAGGGCTTTTAACTCTCCCGCTGCAGCGGGGTTGGCAGCCATATTTTAATTCTAACTGTAGCTGTAGTTTTCCTATGAATTTCTATTACTGTTTGTTTACATTTCTCCTGAAAGTGCGGGTGTTTCATGACCTCGTGTTTCAGCACTCTGCCTAAAGTGAAGTGAGGCATAAGCATTGCCTTGTACACTGAGAAACATTTGAAGAAGACGGGAACGTGGGAATACGACAAAAAGTAATTCTCCACACTGACGTGAAAGGCGACGAAGTTAAAAAGAGTATAAACAGAAGATTTATCTTACAGAAAGGAAGGAAACACACATCACGAACATTTCCAATCTCTTACCTACGCATGCGCTGGTACTTCTCATAAGCTAGAAATGTCAATTTTGAAATATAGATGTCAGCACATTGCTAATATTTTTGGCGTCACTGTCTCGATTTTAGAAGAAAGAAAACATTATTTGTATTTGGCCCCATTAATTAAAGTAATCTCAAATCACGTAACGCGAGAATTTTTGGGAATAGTACCTAAACATTGTCCGAAGAAAATAAAAACGAAAATATTTTTTTTTTCAGGTTGTGGTTTTCTAAGCTACGACAATGTGTAATCGGGTGGGTGCTTACCAACGTTTCGGAGCGACCTAAGAGAATACATGATATAATAATTCAGAAGACTAGAATCTAAACATTCTCCTCTGTGGACACTTCACATGTCATATGAATGCGTATAATCGGATTGGCACTACACACACCTTAGTTAGTTAGTTAGTTAGTTAGTTAGTGGAGAGGGTGGGTTTTCCCATGCACTTAGACCTGTATTGGTCCATTGTGCTTCCCTCTATGATATTCTACCAGTCTCTATACCCTACCGATATTGGTGCGTACCATCAGTCCCGACCGATCCAGCGAGTTCGGCCTCTACCGGCTTAGCGGTATCTATAATGCTTCCCCCATCTATCAGAGGCGTTAGAGACTAATGTTGGGCGGGAAACGTCCTGAATTTGGCTCAATGACCTCCTTTGGAGATATGAGGTTCTTTTACGTGCCGTAAAGCTACGACACGGGACCCACGGCTTAAAGTCCCTCCCGGAGGACTTGTTCCCTGAATTTTTCCGCCCTTAAAAATTCGACGACCTCCGCCGGGTTTGAACTCGCGTACCACGAGTCATGAGGTGGGAACGTTACCTCTAGACTACGGAGGCCGCTTACATACATCTTACTCAGCTAACGAGTATAGTTGGGTTTGTCAGCGAAGGAGAAGAATTTGTATCCGTTGCCTGAGCGGATCTTCAGATCTGTTAATATTTAATGGGATATGTAAAGTGAAAATTATAACAATCATAATCGATATGTTTCTGAGACCGCCTTGTGGTCTAGTGGTCAGAATTCGATTCCCTGTGTTACCAGATTTTCTGAGTAGTGGGTTTGGAACGGGGTCCACTCAGCCTTGTGAGGATAATTGAGGAGCTATTTCAAGGAAATAGTGGCTGTGGTCTAGAAAACCGAAATTAACGGCCTTGGGGATTCGTTGGCGCTGGCCACGCGACCCCCTTTACCCGCTATAGTTGGCACTATTATTATTATTATTATTATTATTATTGGAGGGGGTGGGTTTCCCCATGCACCGCGACTAATAGTCTATTGGACGTCCCCCTTTGATATTCTACCAGTCGCCATACATATCGGTACTGGTGCGTGTTATCAGCCCCGTTCAGCCAACGAGGTCGGCCCTCGGTACCCGATACTTCCCCTATCTACCAGAGGCATTGGAAACTACTTGGGCGGGAAACGTTTTGTCTAATTTTGCTCAGAGGTCTCCTAGAGACATTTGCGTAACGTTTGCGTTTGCGTAACGGATTCCAAGTTCGGGTACTCACTGCTGTGGTATTTTTCTTATTGCTAGTGGGGTGGAGACTAAGTCCCTTGTACTGCGGCCACTTCTGGCCTAGTGTACCAACCCCAGATGATAGGTGAGGGTGATTGTGGAGCAATTGGTGGAATGAATATTGGCAGGGGAAACCGAAGTACTCGGAGAAAACGTGCCCCAGCGCCACTGTTTCCACCAAAAATCCCACTTGACCAGACCCGGGATCGAACCAGGGCCGCCGCGGTGGTAAGCCAGCGACTAACCGCTTCAGCTATGTAGCGACCGTACTGCTGTGGTAACCGGGAAACAAAATAAAGAGATATCGTGACTTGCCTTTCTCCCAGATGATGGTGTCAATGGGGTAGCCGGCCACTGGACACTTGACCACCAGCTGCTGGCCAGCAACCGCTGGAATGGGGGGCATCGGCCTCACGTAGGGCAGGCCTGCCAACAGAATAACAAGAAAGATCGAGTGACATTAACACACAGTCTGAACATACAGCTGGAAAGACCAGGAAAGTGGAGAGGAATGAACTGAGGTAATTTCAAACAGAGTTAATAGTATCAGATGAGAGAGAAGTGGACTACCACTGCTGAAACTGAAGGTAAGCAATTGGTGTTTGAAGATACTGTACAGAAATTCACATTATGAAACTTCAGAAAACCATGAAAGATCCTAGTAAAGCTGACTGGATACTCGGTTGGGTCTTGGACACGGTATCTTCCGGATTGGCTATCTGTGGTACGCTTCTTCACCAAATCTTACTACGTACCTCCCATAACTCCAAAAATTAAAAGTTAAATAGAATGGAACCTAAGGTACTAGGTAGTTAACTAGCTAACTAAGAAACTAGCAAACCAAACAAACAGCTACCGATTGACTGACTGACAAACCGAGGAACCAAACAACTGACTAAAGGTTCGGGCACACAGAGCGCTACGTACGCTATGTTCGCTATACGAATAGAACAATATCTCCCTTTATTGCCAATATGACTGGTCACAGACGACAATGCCCTTGTTCACACAGCTCACATCGTTCAGGACTGGTTTTCTGAGCACGAACACGAAGTGTCACGTCTGCCATGGCCCCCACAATCGCCAGATATCAATATTATTGAGCCTTTGTGGTCTGATTTGGAGAACAATCTGCGTGCGCGCTATCCACCTCCATCATCGTTAACAGAACTTGCCAATGTTTTGCAGGAAGAATGGTACAAGATTCCCTTGCAACTCATACAGGACCTCTATTTATCCACTCCAAGGAGACTGCAAGCAGTTCTGCAAGCCACAGGTTGTCCTACACCATATTTGTCATGGTAATGTGTTTTTTGTTGGGTGTTTCCATATTTTTGTCCATCTCTTGTAGATTGAGGGTGTTTGAGAACAGGGTGTTGACGAGAATATTTGTACCGAAAAGGGATGAAGTGACAGGAGGTTGGAGAAAACTGCATAATGAGAAGCTTCATAACTTGTACTCTTCTCCAAGTATAATTAGAATGATCAAGTCAAGGAGGATGAGGTGGGCAGGTCATGTAGCACGAATGGAGACGAGGAATGCGTATAGGATATTGGTGGTAAAGCCAGAAGGAAAGAGACCACAGGGAAGACCAAGGCGTAGGTGGGATGACAATATTAGAATGGATCTTAGAGAGATAGAATGGGATGGTATGGATTGGATAGACCTGGCTCAGGATAGGGACCAGTGGAGGAATCTTGTGAACTCAGTAATGAACCTTCGGGTTCCATAAAATGCTGGGAAATTCTTGAGTAGCTGCAGAATTGGCGGCTACTCCAGAAGGGCTCAGCTCCATGAGTAAGTAAGTAAATAATAAATCAGAGTCTGCGTTTCAGATCTAACTGTGATGTCCAGCGGTAACTCCTACCTGAGGACAGAAGCAGTGCCCAGCTTCCGGCATTTTGTTTTGGATTAAAAATAGACAGAACGATGGACAATGTTCAGAAAGTCATTAAATGAACATCATCAAACAAAAAACAAACTCCGTGGCCTGTAGTCCGCAAGCGAAGTATACCGACTGAGCGACCGTCGCTTCTCGTCGAAGTTAGTGCCAAGTTTAGCGGATAGAGGCGTGTCGCGTGGTCGGCGCAACCAATCCCCACGGACGTTAATCTCGGTTTTCTAGACCGGAGCAACTATTTCCTTGAAATAGCTCCTCAATTATCCTCACGAGGCTGAGAGGACCACGTTCTAGACCCACTACTTCTCAGAAAATCTGGTAGCGTCGTGAATCGAACGCGGATCTCTGGATCTGTAGCCAGGAACTCTGACCACTAGACGACAGAGGCGGGCAATGAACATCATCTCTGTTGTAATATACGTATACAGAAGAGTATAAAGTAAATTAGTTTACTTGAGTTAAGAGGGCACTGAAATTTAAGCCACAAGAATGTGCTTAGTCGTGGGGGGCGACTTTCTGAAGCAGTGCATTTGCCATACGAACCAACACCCGATGAGAAGGAACAAGTGGGGAAGGGGAGGGAGCTCTCCAGTGAAGGCCTGTCAGCTTACAAAATGAATTTCTGTTCCTTCTTCACAGAAATTTAATATGTCGAATAATAAGGTAGGGAAGCCACCCACATTTTTGGCATCAGAAAAGAGGAATGTGGCACTGGTATGAATCACTAAGTACCATTCCAGAGAGATCATTCCGCGGAACTGTTTTCACGATCTTACGATCAAAATCCGAACATACCTCCCCCACCCTGATTAATTAACGTTAAGAACTTTCATTTATTGGTATCCATAGACCTGCAGCCCATTTCAGTTAAAGGATAATCTGAAAACTTTATCCCACAGAAGAAAGGAATCTTGTAGGATTTAATGTTTTCACATTGGTGGTTATGAAGCATTTCATCTTCTGGGATATAATGCTGAGTAGCCCGTTTAAAGTCAGCTGACGTTTCGGAGGAACACGTCGCTCTTCTTTCTACTCGCTTCACACTGGTTTCTTACTTGGCTTATTCTTAAACCTTGAAGACAAAGGTGATGGTACTCTGAAACGTCGGTTGATTTCCAACTGACTACAACGGAGTTATATCCAAGAAATCTTAGAAACTGCTGAGAAATTGCAAACATAATGAGTGTACAGGCGTAGAGAGGTTGCAAACTTATAGACAAGAATTACTTTGGGAACGGAAAATGCCAGAGGTTTTAAAATCTGGAGAATATTAGGAACGGAAATGGTAATAATATATATGCATTTTTTTTTATTTTAAATTAACCTTTTACTTCTAGGAATTTTGCAAATAAATTGTATATTCCTGTCAGATTTTGTATTCCTCGATTCAATTATAAACCCAACGTGACACGAACACTATATGACATTATCTTTTTTTTGTGCAGCTTGGCATGGATATAGCGACAATCGATAGCAGATCATTCTCGTACTCCCCACTTCTCCGCCATCAAAAACAGCGACATAGTTGCCGTGTGAGCTTATGAAATGACAACATCGCTATTTCTGTCCTTCACTCATGGAGCTGAGCCCTTCTTGACAAGCCACCAATTGTGCAGCTACTCAAGAACTTCCCAAAATTTTATGGAACCCGAAGGTTCAGTATCGTGTTCACAAGAACCCTCCACTGGTCCCTATCCTGAGCCACATCAATCCAATCCATGCCATCCCATCATATCTCTCTAAGATCCATTTTATATTGTCCACCCACCTACGCCTTGATCTTCCCAGTGTTCTCTTTCCTTCTGGCTTTCCCACTACATGCCCTGCTCATCTCATCCTCCTTGACTTGATCATTCTAATTACACTTGGAGAACAGTACGAGTTATGAAACTCCTCATTTTACAATTTTCGCTACTTCTGTAAGGTTAAAAAAATGTAAATTTGACCCCGCGTGTAACCAATCAAGCGCTAAGGCATGAAGACGTGTCAATGGTTAGCTTCACACACCTGCCACTTCACCCCCGGGGAAGGAGCCTCCGGTACCCATTGGATAGGAGGCTGGGTGGGCCCCAGAACCGGTCTGAACTACTTGGAGAAGATAAAAATCTCGCCCCTTACCAGATCTGAACTCCGAACCCTCCACCGTACAACCGGTAGCCAGCTGTTATACCGACTGAGCTATCCCGGTTTCTTTAGTTACTTCTATACTGACCCGAAGGTTTCTTTATATATTGAAAAAAGAATATAAATTAACGTATTTATTGAGAAAAACTGAAGAAAAACATGAGATCAGCATATAATCTCTCAGAATTCACTTTCACCAGAACATGAATGGCGACAAATGGCAAAGGGCAGTAAGATTAGCCTTGATAAGACTCGTCTTAGGGAGGAATCAAACTAAGATCGTAAAATGAATTCTGTAACGAACACAATAAAAATAATGTCTTGAATATTATCCCTCCGCTCCCACTACCTGTTCGATATGACAGCGTTTCGGAAATATCTTATGACATCTCAGACGGTTAATACCAACTGTAGAGTCTGAAACTTCTCTGAGACGTAAGAAGTGCAGTCTGACCTTTAAACTCTTAGTTTTAATCGACTTCTCGCGTTATTCCAAACTTCTGACCTATTTCTTGCTAAACCAAACTTTGCCATTTAGAGAACTTACTGCAAAACCAAACATCAAGTTAAATTGATGTGCTATTTTTACAATTTTCGCAACATTATTATTATTATTGGATGGTACGGGGATAGCTTTACTTTTTTTTACTAATTGGATGGCACGCAGTAGAGTAGATGGTTGATGCACTATGCTACAAGGCGGAAGATCGCTGGTTCGATTCCCGATTAGATCTTTCGATCTTTAAACTGACCTAAAACTTCCGCCGCACTGTGGCCCTGGGGTCGAATCAGCCTTAACAGAAATGAGTACCAGGAATCTACCTGGGGTGTAAAAAGTGGCCAACGCGTAAGGCTGACAACCTCAACGCCATCTGTGAGCCGATTGCCGAGAAAATGTGGCAGTCTCGACGTCTCACAACTCTATGAACCATTATTTTATTAACATTATTATTATAAGATTTACGCTTACAGATTTATTTGTCATATTTGTATTTTGTCTTAATTATTTTCTGTACCTTATGTACTCGTGTTAACTTTGTAATTGGCCACTGTGCTGTTAAGTTATTGCACGTAAATAAACATGAATTGAATTATATGTTCAAGTCCCTATGAGGTCATTGGATTTTTTCAATTGACCTAATCCTTCCAGCCGTACTAGGCCCTGGGGTTTACTCAGCCTCTAACAGAAATGAGTACCAGGAATTAATTAAATAATTTTCCTGGGGAGAAAAGCGCGGCCGGCGCGTAAGGCTGACAACCTTACCGCCATCTGTGAGCCGACTCTCTAGATAGTGTGGGACCCTCAACGTCTCACAACCCTATGGGCCTTCATGGCCTGTTACAGGGATAGCTTTACTTTTTTTATTATTATTATCTACACTGTCCTCTGTCTGTAATTGG